AATTGGGCGGTAGGCCGGCCTAAGACAACGATTTTTAATAATTAATTACTCGTTAACTATTACGAAAATTGCAAAATGGTACAGGTACTTTTCCGTTCATCTCGATCCGTTCTACCTTCTCAAAAATTTTGTCGGATATGGAAAGACTCACCCTGTATATCCAAGATTTTTAAGTAATACTAATCCATTCTCTCAATTACTTCTGTCGATATTCAGTAACGCAAAGATAATTTTCACTTAAGAGGCACTCTAACCGAAATGTTAAGTTGCTTAACTACAAATAAAAACGGTCAAAATTTTTCCCGGAGTAGAATTACGAACAATCCAAATAAATTGATTACTAATTATGGGTTGCTGTCTTTTTCTCCCAGAGTATGTACTACCATAAACTTCTACCCTTACAGAAATGTAACAACTGTAAACGAAGAAAGGACTGAACAATTACTAGAGTTCGGTAACTGAATTATTAGAAATTACTGATGTACAGTATTATTTCGCTTACATTTCTGTAATGCTGTAGAAGCTGTGCGAACTGCAACCTGAAACTCGTCGATGTACGGGCGAGAATAAAGATTATGAAAATGTGAAGCCTAGTAAAACCGAGGTCCAGGCATTAACGAACAAGACCGTACATTTCGGTTGCAGGTCTTTCTCGCGGACAGACGAAATGTCGCAAGAGCGACGATCGGCGAGATAAAATATCCAGAGTGGTCTGTAATGTTAAAATGTAATTTCTAAAGTAAGTTCCGTTCGGAGTCAACTGAAAGGGAGATTTTTCGTTCTCCAACTTGTTCGATCTACGTCCTTGAAACTTTGCTCACCACTTCTGCCTCTGGGTTGTACAGTCTTAAAAAAATCAAGATATTTATTCTTCGATCCAAGGTGTTTGTTCATCAAAATTCCAGCGAACAATGAAGTTAGCATGTTTCGTTAAGTGTCCCGTATTTATCGCGATACGCAAGGGTTATCGATCAAGCTTGACTCATCGTCTTATTCCTCCTAACTCCTGCGCAGCTGTTAAACATTTTTGTTCTACGTCTAGTCTACGGGAGAATTTTTTACTTTATTTTTCAACATATCCGTATGCTCCCGGATTTTAATATATTTCTTATACCATAAACGGCGCCGACTAGACAATTGAAATGTCCAGGATTATCTTCTCTTGTTCCACACTTTTGTTCCCTACTTCATTCCAAAAGTATGAATCCCCTCTCCAACGATTTATCGACTTCCGGTCGACTCCTCCTCGGGAAACGAGTTGCTGCTAACGCGATTGATTATGCGAGTCTCGCGTGTAGGACGTAGAAACAGGCCACGAACCACCCTCTCCTTTATCTCTCTTTCTCTCTCTCTCTCTTTCTAGATCGATGGTCGTAATTAGGATAACTATCGCCTGAATACGCAGAACGTAGGCCGTGATCGCGAGGAGTCGCGAGGCGCACCGGAAGCGAAGCGCGAAATCGCATCCTCGCGGCACCGAGCTGAGCGGAGCCGAGCCGAGCCGAATCGAAAACGGAAACGAAAACGGAAGCGGCAGCGTCGATCCGAGGGACGCGTAATCACCACGTCACGGCGGGGCAAATGTTCTCAACGAGCTTTCGCGAGATCCCGCCGCCGAGCAGCGCACCCGAGAGAAATCGCCGGCATCGTCGCCGGTGCGCTTCCGGTATCGCCGATCGGGCTACCGTCGCGATGAAGTGAGCACCGCCCAGGTCGGCTCGTTGGCTCCTGCGACGATGCAGCTCGCAATCGTCGGCTTCGCCCGCATTCAAGCGCCGAGGACGTAATCGATAGCGTTCGTCGCTAGCGTGCCGTCTCGGGTCAACTGATCTGAGCCGAGGCAAAAGATACCGGAAGCGGGAGAGTACCTGCCGAGAATAGAGATACGTTTAAAGGGAATAGATCGGGGTCGGGAGACAAGGTTGCGACGGCGACTCCGACGACTCCGACGACGGCGGCGGCGGCGAGAACGGGAACGGAAGTGATGACGACGATGACGATGGCGACGGGGCGGTAATTAAACGCTAAGGGTCGCAATATAGAACGAACGAACAGTGTGCGGTGAAGCGACGCTGTGGCGTTGGTAGCCTTCGCATATATTACCGTACGTACACACACGGGGTAAATGCACACGAGCGCACAAGTATACAGGCGAGACGTGCAAATAAATTTTAATATTGTGATACGCATACGTAACTGTAAGCGCGCGGGCGTGTCGGTCGGCGAGCAATAAGAGCAGTAGAAAAAAAAAGATACTGCACGTGTCACGTACGCGCGCGCGCGCGTGCTGTCCGGGTCGGTGAATCCCAGTTCACGACTGTGTTCGAAAGAGCTCGTTAGTCGCTAAGCCGATCGACGAGATTACGCTTATCTCACCGGGACCGAGTCGGGAAAAGAGTGCGACGACAACATGGCGTTCGCCGCGGCGAGGATGATCCTCAAGGACAAGCGCAGGAAACCTAGCAAAGAGGACTTCGCACCGCGAAATAGAAGCAAGGTAAAATCTCGCACACGATTTATGTATATCAGACTCCGATTCTCTGTTTCATCATTCATGTGTGTCGCGCTCCATAATCGAGCGGCCTGAGGGACGCGCGCGGTTTGCGCGCGATGGAGGAGGCTTCCGGGGAGAGTCGTTTCTTATTTCGCGCGTGTATCGTCACGCGGACGCCGAAAGAAAAACGATTCAACTCGCATCACCGATTCCCGAGCAATCTGGGCGCCGTTTCGCGGTCATTTGTCATTTCGAGCGGGACACAAAGGCGATCTAGGTTACCCTCCGCGATGTGGGGGGGGGGGGGGGAGCGAAAGGGTGCCCGCGAGCAATGTCAAGCGGGCATTGGCACGCTGAACTATAATGCCATTAACGCGCGCCTTTATCGCCAAGTCATTAGGCTGTTAGTGGAGTTACATGCTCGACTTTCTCACGGCGACGATGGTTCCTTCAGATAGCACGTGAGGGAAACGACGCTGGAGAATGCATAAAGGCCCGTGTCCACGATGCTAGAACTTGGTTCAAGTTCTAGTTCCGGGAAATGTGCGGCCAATCAACTTGTAGCTTTTATGGAATAGCTGCAAGTTGATTGGCTACACTTTCCTGGAGACTAAAACTTGGACCAAGCTCCAGCATCGTGGACACGGGCCTTAAGGATGCCGGCGCGGTGACTGATACCGTATGCGGATCACGCGAGACGTAAAGTAGACGGGGGTCGTTTTTATTAAGGTAATTAATTTCGCGGGACGACCGTCGCGAGATTCAGACGGCGAAACTCACCTCTGCTTTGTCGAGCGTCGTGGGAGCACGTGCCGGGGGTTCTTTTTAGATACGCGGGATTGATTGAAACATTTCGCGCAGTTTTCCAATTAAAAACCGATACCGCGAAGCCGATAAACGCTATGCAGACTTTAATTACCGGGAAAAAGAATTCGTGGTCGTTTAATAACACGTTAAGCAATCGCGCATAAAAGAGAGCCATTCGGAAAATTCTTCGATATAAAGTATTTTTAATCAACCCGAAAGGACTTGTCCATGATATCTAATACCATTCTGAATTACGCTGGAAGGTAGATATCATTTCTAGAAAGAAATAGATGCTAATTTAAATCACTTTGTAAGGAAGTGACTGACAATACATATAATCGGCGCTTCCTTTGCAGGTGTAAGAATTTTCAAAATACACTTTTTAATTTTCTTATTCGTAATGAACATTTGTTGAAAGTGCGGCAAACAGTTAGAACACAGAATTTGAGCATCGCAACGATTCTATTGATGGTATTTACAGTCGGATCTAATATTTAAGATCATCTTAAGATTGTCTTTAGACACACCGTAGCCAACGAAATGTTCCATGCAGCAATTTGAGATAAATTCAAGACGGTCTTGAATATAAGATCTGACTATGAATGCCGACCTAAAAGCCCGAAGCAATAACCAATGCAGTATGTGTATAAATGACACAGCCCCGCAGAAATCTTGCGATCGATTGCCAAATTCATCTTTAGATCGAAATAAGATCTTGGCGGAGAAAATCGCGCGGTAAAATCGCAGTTCTAACGCTCCGATCCTACGTCCTCGCGTAAGATAAATAGTCGATTACGCTGTCCGCATGAATTTATCGCGAGTTCGAGGAAAAAGTACGAATACGCGTAATCCGCAGTTGTGGCACGCATGATTAATAATATGTACGTGCATGCCACGGAAACAAAGGAGTGGAAAAGAGTTTTCCGACGGTGATAGTGCAACGATATCGGCCAAGGTTTCCACCGTGCATATACGCACGCACATCGCTCTGAGATTCCATCAGAATTGCACAACTTGTTCTGTCAACATTTGAGACATTTTTCCAATATGCGCCCGCTCACGTTTCCGTTATTTCATGCAGCATCTGCACATTATCATTTCCATATGAAACCCCCAAATTTTTCTCAGATTTAATATTCTACTTGTTTGGTGTGTTGTTGTACTGTAAATGTTATGCTCTAAGAAAACATCGCTTCTCCTTCTTATCTAGATGTTTTTTTTTTAAATTATATTACGGTGTCTCTCACAATCATTGTACAATACTTTAATCACGTATTCTGGAGATGAATTAACTTCAAACATTATATATTTTTATGTGAAAACATTGTAATAAGTTTCGTTGTAAACGAGCAAATTTAGCACGAGATTATTGCATAGAATTAGCATATTCAAGCCTCTAATCGCACTTACACACACACATTTGTTATTGATTTAGGTTAATTGATATTGTGATTTTTACTGTTTAACTGATTTAATCTTTTGGCTTCTATGTGGTACTTCTATGTAAAGGCTGTATACGCTACAATCAACTGATAACATTTAACAGTAAAAGAAATTAATCACTTTACGAGTACGTGCGCAAATTTGAATGAATATCAGGTTATCAGTAAATATAGATGGATTAATACGCTATGGAAAATTAATACAAAGTTAGCAACGTTGTAATAGTATAACAATTAATAATATTGTTCAATAAAACAGTCGCTTTTTTCGCGCACAAGAATAAAAGTAATTGTTTTCCATAGTTTTTTTAGCGCTGAATACAATATCGTTTACTAGATTATTCTACCTTGTTACAATTTGGAGAGATTTGCGATTATATTACCTTATTTTTCAGAGCAGTGAACCGAAAAATTCAATCAGTATATAACACATTTGACTGCAATTGCTCAGACTTTCTTAATAAGCATGTCATATCCTTATGAGGTTTTTCAAATTGTTTTATAAAAATGTTTCTAATATTTCTGTATAGTGCTTAGCGAATAGAATATGGAATATGGAATAATACCACCATCATCGTTCACTCTTAATCGAGCATCACTTTTTATCGAACTCATTCTTCCTGTAATATCTCTCATTCTGTTATGTATTATCTTGGGTATGTGCCTATATTTTCATAGATAACTGGCGAAATTTCATGTGTCTATGGAATAGACACATAAATCAACAGACAAAATTGTCTTTCAATTATTTTAATATTGATAGTAACCTGTTCTAGCATATGCACTTCAAGGCAGTACATTTGTGAACTTATAGATTTTCCTACAATACTTTTAATTTGATGCATAAATCTTTTATATATTTGATAAAAAGTCTCAGATTTCCATACCTCTCCAATTAAAAAAGGATTTATCATTCATCGATACAATTTGCAGCAATGCAATTACAATGCAAAAAAGACTACGTTGATTCTTAAAATAAAATTAAAATATACTCAAATGACAATTTCTAACATAATTATTATGTCAAGAAATAATTAGCGCGCGTATAATTATAATTTCAAATAGCAAACAAAATAATGAAAAATAACTCTGTGCATAGCTGCTCCGTTGTCGCCTAATGTCTCCTTCTCTTCCTCTTTTCATTGCTTTACACAACATTTACGTTCTCGAACACACAGTTAATTACAATCGCGCATTAATCACTAGGAAAGGACAGTCGCGCGGTATTTTACACGACATTCCAGACATTAATCACAGGAGAATGAAGCATTTCACAACGGCGAAAGAATAATGCGAAAAAGTATGATCGCACAAAACTAATATCTGCGAATTAACGCAATCGACGAATCGGGAAAAAAGAAGTTTTGTAAAAATATCTCACCGATATGTAAATACTGAATTCATAGTGCATGATTGATGCGTGATAAAATGCGGGATTAATTTTGCGCCTGTAAATACTAAATTGTTTCAAACTCCATGTCGCTCGTATCCGAATCAATTCGTTTTGTATCGCAATGTTCCATTGATGGCCGAGAAATTCGAAAATAATGCAATTTCATTCCGGTAACATGCGATACGATATTCGATTAATAAAGTCTAATTAATGATTTATTAAGATGCGATGAACCGTTCGAAAATACACGATCAGAATTCAGTGTTGCACACGCAATACGTTTCGAATGCACCGTGCGTTCGAAATCGCGCGAAAATGTATGTACTGTTTATAAACTGTTCGACATAGCACGGCTTTTCATTACGTGGATTACTCGATTCTGCGATTCACGCGTTTCGAATATTAGGCAAATTACATTTATAAATCAGTCGAAAAGTTCAATGCGTGGTATACTGAAATCCACTCATCGTTGAAAGACATTTATCGCTCATAAATATCACGAAGTAGTAACATTGCAATTTATGTCATTCACGGTTTCAATCCTCACTTTAAATCGCGCGTCCACGTGTCTACCTCCAAAAATAGTCGCCTCGCTCACTATTAGTCGTTAGAATTAATCAGTCGCGCGGGAGATCGCAATTGCTAATCGTTCCTAGAAAACGATAGGATTTTTCCTTAGCGTCCGTCGCACAATCACACACGGTTCGCGAGATAATACCACGGTACTACGAAACTACGAAATAACTCACATCGGTGTCTGCCGGCTCGTGCGTCGCTGCGCGAATGATAGCACGGCAACCTTGTGTAAACATTGACACTGTACACTGCAAAAAGGAAAAACAAACACCGATTCCCGCGCGCCGTGTGACTGATAAATCATTCTCAGTACGAAACGTGTAACGTGCTACGAGACAATGGATGGATGAATGGGAAATGCTTCATTAAGCCCTGAATTAATGATTAAGTTGCCACATTACATCTAATATAAACATATAAATTATTAACAAGTATGTTTCTTCAGATTGCCAGTATTAATAATAAAAAAATTTCAAATTTCAATCGACCTCAGCTGGCCACATTTATTAAATACGCTTTCACAACGTTTTGACCTTTGGTTTAGGTCCTTATCAAGTGCGATCTAAGAGTATAAGTGTTTATATGTAAAATTTATATGTAAAACACTTACTCTTAGATTCCACTTGATAAGGACCTGAACCAAAGGTCGAAACGTTGTGAAAGCGCATGTAATGTGGCCAGCTGAGGTTGATGAAAATTTGAAATTTTAATATAAATTATTGTTTCTTCTCTTGCAAATTTATACGTTCGAAAAGGCTGCTTTCAATTTTTTTATAAATTAGAAAAATAAGGTTACATCGCCACAGGAGAATGAATGGCACATTTTGATTTTTCTTATAATTTGTGTGTAATTTATTATTTACTATTTTATTCGTTAAACTGGCGGTACTGAGATAAAAATTTACTTGGCACGAAAATAACGAAGTACAATTAAGACGGGATTAATTAAATCTCAGGTAATCTTCTTAGAGCTTAAGTTGTAATAACGTGAAAATTTTAGTACATTTTAAATTAGCTTTGGTCCTTGAATACAAATTATAGTAATAAAATTATTACAATTATTTTAAAACTTTTTTTATTGGCAGAGCACAGTTATTTGTGCCCTGCGATTATATAACGTTATGTTTATTAATTTACCTAAAACTTGTCATAACGCGCCTTAATAATTAATGGCGAAATTAATCAGAAATAATTATTTTATGCACGCAATAATTAATTGTTAAAGTCAAAGCCTTTGTTGCAATTCTTTCATATTCATATTTCAAAATAAGAATAGATGAAAAATTAAAATTAAAATTTGAATAAAAGATATACCTTTGTATACTGTATATATTTATGAATGAAAAATGATTGATTAATATCTACAAAATAATGGAAAAATTATTTGCTTATTTTATCTTCCCTTGTTTCCTCGTCCTAATTACTTTTTAAAATTTAAGGCCTACATTTATATCTTTCTGCCCTCATATCCTTTTGAGGATACGATGTAAATTGACACAATAAAGTAATATATTATTTTTAATGTGCACACAAGCATAAATAAAAAATAGAAAGTATCTCGCACAATCACATAATAATATAATTATTTATTGCAATATATTATTATGTAATTTATTGTAATCTACTTTTTTTAAATAGATGCTAATATGCGTGATATTAATTGTATATATTCTTACGTATCAATTTCATGTTAATTTTACGGAAACTATTCATTATTATTCTTGTACATTCACTTAAATTTGCATACAACGATCAATGCTTGTTATTATTAACATTAATTAGCATGATCCCAATAATTATTACATAAACTGATCGTTGTGGTGGCATATATGAAAAGTAAGGAAACAAATCTAGCTGAAGTTTAAACTTGATATTACCGGAACTACGAATGACAGATTAATAAGCAAAATATTATAGATTTAATGCGCAGACTGTATCAATAGCCCATTAACGAAACTTGAGATTGCTCATAATGCAACAATTATTATGACCCCAATATTTGTATATTCATTTCATGGTTTAATACTCAGAGATGAGAATGACGAAGCCTAGAAGCTCCTGTACGATAAATCTCGTGGTATTCGGTCGAATTCCTCCTCGCTCGAGTTTGTAGCGAAATGACACCATTGTAGAGAGAACGTAAGGTAGATCCCGCGTTAACAAGTAGTCAGTCTTGATTTAACACGCGACGTAAACGGCATGCCGGGTGTGCCATAAAGGAAACAGTTCCGTCGAAACACAAAAGCCGGGGGATTCGATCAATGCGTCGCACTTCGCTCGGTAAACCCGTCACGACTCGCTGACGTGACAGCTTTCCGATTCGATTGTCTCTCTTTTTTCCTTGCCATAGAAGACGATCATCAATTAAGTCGAGCGTAACTTTGGAAAAAGCTTTGTCCACTGGTAAACCTATCAAATGGCAACGGATCGCGTAATGTTTTCGGCGAATGTAATCACATTCACACTCTCATGCGGACAGCGTACGCGTTAACTGTAAATGATGAACATTTAAATGTTCTTCCATTACGAGGCTGCAGGGCATTGTTATCGTGTCGCGTCGTTTTACAGTTCAGTAATTATGATTAAAGTTGAGCTTTTAAATAATGCAAAGTTTTTCTCTCGTTTCTACGTAGCGGCGCTTGTTACGTTTATTACTCGTAAATTGTCCTGTACAATTTGGAAACGGACGAAATGTGTATTAAATATGTTACATTACTGGAGAGCCGAATAACAATCCGGCTGTTCGAAGGGAAACAGCCCGGTTGATACGCGTAATTTGCGAGTCGGTAATTTGGCGCGTCAACTTAAATTTGAATTCTTGACAAATGCTAATTGTACATGCAAATGATCGCCCGTAAAGGATCACGCGATAACTCACGCTAATAATTCACACGCTATACGCTGTCATAACTTTCGATGGCACTGCTAAGGCGCTACACATTTGCGATATGTAAATACACATACAGATAATTATTATCTGTACCAACGTGTGCGTACGTTGTTTGCGGAATGTGATTCTAAGTTTTCATGAACCGTACTCTTTTTCGGCCTCGACTGCGGTATCTAACGATTTCGGTGTCATTCGAGAGAGAGTCGTCGATGCCGATGTCAGTTGCAGACATCAGTTTGAACTTTGTCATTCTTCTAGCTGGAAATAGATTTTTGTCACGCAACACGTATACAAAGACTTTACCTTGCAACGCGCGTTATTCGCACACCAAGCCGCGAGTTCCGCGTTCTGACATTTACGAAACGCATTACTTCTACATATATGAATCACACCTGCGCGCACCGCCAACACACCGTATCCGTAGTATCTCTCTCTCTCGTCAGTGTTATATATCTTTAGCTATACTTTTCCAACTACAGTGGCGTGGTAATTGGTGACCTATACTGTACTTGTGTTCGCAGGCTCGCAGCGCCAGCACAAGTAGCTTTAGAAGCCTGAGCCAGGTATATACCAAGATAATAATTGAGATCTAGTTGAGAGATTAGTCACTAGCTATTTAGCTAGATATAGTCAATCATTTATTACTTACTTACTCATTTTTAGAAACCTAGATGCCATTGCTCATGCGTAGAGGCGTAGCGCACGTGCATTTCGCTAAAACGCTCGGCATTGGTCTGCAAATTGTTATCACTGAAGATTCCTGGCCCACTTATCGCAAGCCCGACCGTCGGGTCGTGGCGTCGCGACGTGAGATCGTACGAATTCCTCTCCGTCCCGCTCATTTCGACGTGCAGGACGAACGAGGCGATTTGTACGATTTCGCCGGTCGCGACGTCGCGATCCGACGTGTCGTTACGACAGGAGACACCGCGAGCCTTCGGTAATCCCCTTTGGCAGTGCCAAACCTGTTTCAACACTCGCTCGTCGATGAACAACATTCGAAATGTGACGGACCGTTGACGGGTCTCATTGTCGCGTACGCCACGAGTTTCGATTCGGGTCCTACAATCCTGCCTCTCTATACGAACGCCTGGTGCACACCTCTCGGCGCATTTCCGATAACGTTTCCCCGATCTCCGATAACGTAATCGGCTCGGGGACGAACGTCGACGACGGGACTCTAATGCGGTGTCTACAATGAGATCTTTAAGTCGTAAGAAAGCGACCTATCACAATCGAATGTGAGGAGAAGGCTGCGATTGGTCATTTTCTTAAATCTTACGTCTTAAAGGGACGCTGAAGTTGAAGGGGATTCTGCACACTTTTTGCACCTCTTGCTCCTAGAACTGTCAATTCATGAAAACATTTGTGTAATATACAAGTGATGTGGCTTTTATGTAGAGACCGACTAGTTTTCACCAATCGGATTATATCAGGGAACAGCACGGTATCATTGAAATTAAGTTTAGGAGTCTAATAAAAAATAAGCCACATAATTTGTATATTACACAAATGTTTTCATAAATTGACAGTTCTAGAAGCGAAAGGTGCAAAATCAGTGCAAAATCACTCTAGCATTCCCTTGAAAGATCTCATTGTGGACGTCGCATTAGTCGAACGGTTCAATAAGATAAAAGTAAACGAGGACACGTGAGGTACGCAGTCAAGTGCCGCATGGCACGCGTCTCCTTCCAGGATTCTCGCCGGACGAAGAATGCGAGCGCGCGTAGAGATGCATGTCCTATACTTTTGCCCTGTCCCGTTTCCGCAAAGTTTCCGTGGAAAACGGAACAGTAAGTATATCACGGGGGACTCAGGACAGCGGACTACCGCAATTACGGTAGAAATGTCTCGTGGGGCGGAGGGGGAGGGAAAGGAAGGAAAAAAAGGGGGAGAGCTCGGGAGACTCTGTGTCCTCGTTGCGGCGCGCGCGAAATGTGTCGACACGAATATGTCGAGAAGCGACCCGCTAATGAGCCGCATTTATGCAACTCGGCCTCGTTGAAAACCGCGACATTTTTTCGACACACTTCCGCACTCTTCGTCGCTCCTAATTACTCGCCCTTTTTATCCCGATCGACCCTTTCGCCCCTGCGCTAACGTATTATCGCGCGCGCGCGCGCTTGGCATGCTGTGACTCTGATACTGCGGCATTTTTTTTCTGCACGATTACGTTAGGCTGGTAATACATTTGTCGTACGATACACTTTTCAAGCGTGTTGATTGGCTCCAGAATAGAAAATTTCTAGAGAATCAAGAACTTGTCTATTCTGCAGTCAATCAACACGCTTGAAAAATTCGTCGTACGACAAATGTATTAGCCTAGACAATAATATTAGCTTTAGGCCTGTTCTACAATACGTCGTATGTAGCAAGGAAATTGAAAAGAAATTTTCTCATTGGACCATCGGCTACGTTCCGACATCCGACATACGATGTACAGGATTATAGAACAGGCCTAAGGCTGGCATTACATTTGTCGTACGACAAATTTTTTAAGTGTGCCGATTGGCTGTAGGATAGTGAAAATCCCGAGTATCTAGAAAGTTTCTATTCAGCAGCCAATCAGCACGCTTGAAAAATTTGTCGTACGACGAATGTACTGTTAGCCTTAGGCTGGTATTACACTTGTCGTACGACCAACTTTTTTAAGTATGTTGAGTGGCTGCAGGATAGAAAAGCTGTCGAGTATCTAGAAATTTTCTAGCTTGTAGCCAATCAACGCGCTGAAAAAATTTGTCGTACGACAAACGTAATAGTACCTTTATGGTATATACCAGTGTTCATGAACGGACAGTTTTCTGGATGAAACAAAAGCGCGCGTAAAGGAGAATTTACTCGGCACTTGGCTGGAGCGGATCGATTGATTGGAAACGCAGAAGAGCCGTGCCGAGTTTGCAATTTAAAGTCTTCGCGAGAGTAAAGTCTCGTGGCACGCTGTGAACTAATGTCTGTCTATTTCGAGGGAGCCAAGAAAATACAGTGCGTTACATAATTACAGAACCAGCGTGAGTTTCGGCGTTTCTAGGATTGGATACTAAATAAGATAAAACTAAGTAAATACAACGAAAAATAATTGAAAAAAAAGATGTGTAATAAAAGAAATATTTGTAGTGCTGAAATTAAATTGGAGTAAAATAAAAATACAAAATTGTACCGTTTTACAGCTATAGACTCACGCGAGAAAACGACTTTTATTCGAACACTAAAGCCCGGTTTCTCATTTTCTGGTTAACTGTTAGCCAGAAGTTAGCCAACTCTCTGTCTTTTACATGCCTCGGTGGTCGAATTGGTGAGACGCCCGCCTAGTGAGAGGGAGGTCCAGGTTCATACCCTGGCTGAGGAAAATTTTTCGCAATAAATTTAAAAGTTAAAATCATTTAGACACTAACATCCTGTCTGGGCTCTCATATCCTTTATTACTTCGTATTCGTGATTTCACGTCAGAGCCTTACGAATTTCATTTGTTCTCTGTCTTTTGTTAGATATATAATATAGAAAAAGATGGAGAGTCGACTAACCTCTGGTTAACAATTAACCAGAAAATGCAAAACTGGACCTAAGTGTAAACAAACATTGTACACGCTTGTCGCAAATATCTTCATTAACGCTCAAAATTTTATCGAGAGCTGCTGACTCCAGAGAACATAAACTTATTTTTCACCGAGCAGACGATCTCAATGAACGGCGCGTGCAGTTTTTGTGTTTTCAGTGCAGGAAAACCAATGTCCGAAACAATGAGGATAACGTCGGACAAAGCGTTACCCTGCATTACTCGCGCTTCTTGTCGGCCACTATTTTGCCCATTTACGAGCCCGAGAGTCCTTTCATCTTACACATACTCGATATTATCGGATGGCCCTTTGAAATCGCGGAGGGTAGACAAATTGTTCAATTGAAAAACGACATTGCGCGGAAGTAAAGCGGGTCGCGATGAGCGTAGGAGGCTTAATACGAGCAATGCAGAACTAATGTCGTTATCGGCTGCAAATATAAATGGCGATCGTTTACTTGATTACGTCTATTGTCGTCACGATTGATACATTAACTGGAATGCAGCGCGAAGTTTTGCGTGGACGCCTCTGTTTCCAGCCCGTAAATACCGTAGGTCAAGGACTGTTTTTCGAAAGGATGAACACGCGGGAAAAATCGTTACTGCTTTTTGTGAGTCTAAACATAAATTATACCCCCTTCCCCCTCCTTCTCCCCCTCCTTCTGTAGCTCTAAAGACTATAAAAGTAAAATGAGAAAGCGAATGAGAATAAAGGAAATCGTTGGGATTAATATTGCGAGATTTAAACGAAGTAGCAGCGGGGATTTAACGGTGTTTATTAGGCCGTTAAATCGTTGAAAAACGAGCAAAGAATTCCGAGTAAATGCAACAGAACTGTTCGTCGAAAGAAAGCACTCGGGCGTATAACTTTTTCAAATCACTGCTCCTCGCGCATTTTAACGTGCAAGTCGCCTTTCTGGCACCGATGAGTGCTTTTCAAAAGAAAGGTAAACGAGTGACAGAGAAGAAATCCTCGAAAGTTAATGTCGCTTCGAGATTCAGCTGTGGAATTCTCCGTGACAATAGCCCAACATTGCGTCTGCTAATCCGGCGCTGTCTCTATCGTAACGATTTAACATTCCGCACGGGGTGCCCCGTTCGAGAGGAGATGAAGGTAAAAACGAAAGTGGATCGAGGTTGCCCGAGAGGCAATCGCGTTCAGCGCGGCACGATCGGGCCTACTTTTTGAAATCTCATTTCATCGATAGGCATCTCGAGAGCGATCGCAATTATAGCGGGGATTTAAAAGGCGTACGCGCATCGAACGACTCCTAAATCTGGCGCGCCCTTAATGCCCAGCGAAGATTAATCGTTCGCGTTCGTCACGAGGACAAACGAGAGATCGTCACGGAACGGAGTCTCGGGGCTGGGAGCGTCACCTCGTGCTAACGTCGGGCACGGTCTAGAATCGAGAATGGAGGATCGATGCCTTTGACCACGGTGTTGGACCCCCCGCTCGCCGCTCAAGCGGCTGCGTTATTTGATTTAATTATTAATCAGCCGGTTCTAGACCTTGCGCGGGAAGTGCAGTGACACGCTTCAAGGACGAGCGCCTTGCCCCCGCTTCTACGGGGATTGTTTCCGCATATGACAAATTGAGCGGCGAATTACGGTATCATTTGTTCTTGCGATACTTCTCCGATTAGTCATCCCGTGGCCTGAAATCGCGGGTTCGTGCTCGTAAATCTTGCCGCAGGAGACATTATTCAATCTGGAAAATCTAGGCCATCAATGGCTTCGCAATTTCAACGAGGGTTCGCAGTTTCGGTGCAAATTCGTTCCCGAATATCTCGGGGCGCAGCGAGAGAGAACTAAAAGAAAAAAAACTCCATTCTATTTCGTTACGTAATAATCGCGCGGTCGTATACTCGTCACAATGCGCACTTCATTCCCAGCTAATTTTTATTACAAATCGACATCTGTCGCTCTGTCGCGAAAAAAAGTTTCTCAAAAAAATTTACAATTAAAGCGAGACACGCGAGAAACACGGTATACTCGGCGGCTCTGCGA